TTGGTTTTGCCTCAGAAACTGCATTTTTGATGTCACCCCACAAGTTTTCTATTGGATGAAGATCCGGGGATTGGGCTGGCCACTCCATAACGTCCATCTTGTTGGTCTGGAACCAAGATGTTGCACGTTTACTAGTGTGTTTGGGGTCGTTGTCTTGTTGGAACACCCATTTCAAGGGCATTTCCTCTTCAGCATAAGGCAGCATGACCTCTTCAAGTATTCTGATGTATTCAAACTGATCCATGATCCCTGGTATGCGATAAATAGGCCCAACACCGTAGTATGAGAAACATCCCCATATCATGATGCTTGCACCACCATGCTTCACTGTCTTCACAGTGTACTGTGGCTTGAATTCAGTGTTTGGGGGTCGTCTGACAAACTGTCTCCGGCCACTAGACCCAAAAAGAACAATCTTACTTTCATCAGTCCACAAAATGTTGCGCCATTTCTCTTTAGGCCAGTCAATGTGCTCTTTGGCAAATTGTAACCTCTTCAGCACATGTCTTTTTTTCAACAGTGGGACTTTGCGGGGGCTTCTTGCAGATAGCTTGGCTTCACATAGGCGTCTTCTGATTGTAACAGTCCTCACAGGGAACGTCACACCTTCTTTCATCTTCCTGGAGCTGATTGTTGGCTGAGTCCTTGCCATTTTGGCTATTCTTCTATCCATTCCAATGGTAGTTTTTCACTTTCTTCCATGTCTTTCAGGTTTTGGTTGCCATTTTTAAAGCATTTGCGATCATTTTAGCTGAGCAGCCGATCATTTTCTGCACTTCTTTATATGTTTTCCCCTCTCCAATCAACTTTTTAATCAAGGTACGCTGTTCTTCTGAACAATGTCTGGAACGACCCATTTTCCTCAGAATTTCGGAGAGAAATGCACTGTAACCAGCATGTACAACATTTGCTGCCTTCCTTCCTTAAATAAGGGCAATAATTGCCACCTGTTTTTCAAAGAATGAATGACCTCACTAATAGAACTCCACACTGCTATTATTTTGAACATGCCCCTTTCAATTAGTGATACAATTACACAGAATCAGCAGCATGCATGTCATGACTGTTGGGTCTGTTGGATTTCTATTATTCTACTACACCTGCTAGTAAATTATTTGCCATGTAGAAATATCATTTCTACCAAAAACAGTGATTGATCCGGTTAGTGATGTCTGACTGCTATTATTTTGAACACAACTGTATATATATATATATATATATATATATATATATATATATATATATATATATATGTATATATGTGTGTGTAATTTCGTATTTCCAGGTAGGGGGGATGCATGCGCCCTACCCGCACCGCCATTGGCAGCCTCAGCTGTCCATTCCCCACCAGCAAACGCCGAGTATCACTGATAGGGGAGAGACCTGTATTTAAACAATGCAGATCTCTCCCCTGTCAGCTCCAGGACACTGCTTTGTATGGCTCTGCAGAACAATACAAAGCAATGTGCTTACACAGTAAAGCAGCACATAGTTAACCCTTTGATTGCTCCTCATGTTAACCCCTTCCTGCCCAGTGCCATTATTACAGTGTCAGCAGTGGTGTATTTAGGTTTTGTACTGCCCTAGGCAATACAAAAATTGTCTCCCCCCCCCCTCCCCCTCCCATCGAGAGAGCCTGACATTGACCAACACCCGCCCCCACCTGGGAGAGCCTTCCACTAACCCCCGCCCCCCCCCGATTGGAGCTGTGAAGACGAGTGTCTTTCTCTGACATCCCCAGGAACATGAGTCAGGCTCTACATACTGTACATACACCATCAAGTAGCACGCAGCCTCTCTTGGATCCCACCTGGTTCCCATGGTGCACATGTCCCTACTTTCATCCCTTCTTCCGGGGGGAGGTGCTGCCCCCCTGAAAAATGCCGCCCTAGGCAAGTGCCTTGTTTGTAAAAGAGGGATTCAACGAGCACTTAATAAGAAGAGCAGCTATTGCACTAAAAAGGAAAACCATATATGCCTTCAAAACAACAGATAAATACGAAATTGTGCAGCGCTAATGACTAAATTTCCTCAAAATGGACAAATAAAACACCAATTAATGATCCAAAATGAAAAAATAAATATATAAATATATATATATATATATATATATATATATATATATATATTAGTGAATCATTATGATAATAAATAATGGTAAATGTCAAAATAAAAATTGTCACAGTTCAAATGAGTATCAGTGGTTTCAATAATTGCAATAATGGGGACTCTTGTTTTCCCAGTCGTGTACAATCAGACATACCGGTGAAGTGCGAGGTATAGATAAAATGCACACTCACCACATTTTAAAAGCGCAATGTGTAAATAAATGGTGATCTGCCGGGAATCCCTCTATGGTAGGATGGAATGCAGCCCGGGATGGATAGCCCTCCTCTGGAGTTGGGATGATAGGTAGTCAGCCAGAGGTCCCCTTTAAGGATAAACTGGAACATAGTGGATTATCCTCTTCTGGATACTGGGGTGGTCACCAAGGTATTCTGGGAAATTAAATGCTCGGTGCAGAGCAAAAAGGGATATCGCCCATAGTGTAGTATTTAAATCCAAGTTTAATTATGATAAAGGTTAAAATACCATAGGATAAAATGCCATACAGTGGGTAAAACAAGTAATACATGCAGCTTAAAGCTGCTGGATGACTGACCAGCTGGTGTATCAATATGGCTGCCAGACCTGCGTGATCCGGCGGCGTGACGTCCCGGCTCCTCCTTGAGGCGTTTTGTACTACTGTCCGTTTTGAAAAGGGGTGTGCCATTGCCGCTGGACGTCTGCTGTGCTCCTTAAATGGCCCGGAATTGTGCGCGCAATTACCGGGCACCATCTTGCCGAAGATCGACGGAAAATGCTCATGCGCGTGAATGTGGGCTCCATTTTCCATGTGTCTGATACAGATACATTTTGCCAAAGATCGACGGAGAGTATGTAAACGCATGCGCCATCTTCCGTGGGTCTGGTACTGATAGAGCAAACAGCTTATCTCCCGGCGGAGTGCCTTGTCTGCCTTGTGGTGAATACACCCCTAAGTGTCAGTGCTTTTTATTAGTACTGATCACTGTAATAGTGTCATTGGGATGTCAGTGACAGTTAGCTAGTCCCCCGCCAGTGTCAGAATGCCCGCCGCAGTCCTGCAATAAGTCCTTTATTGCGGGCATTACTAAAAAAAAAACAAATTTCAATATATATACCATTTGTAGATACTCTAACGTTCACGTAAACCAATTAATTTACACGTACTGGGATATTTTTTTTTCAACAAAGACATTTATTTATAAAAATTGATTTTTAACTTTTTTTCTTTACATGTTTAATAGCAAAAAGTCAAAAATATGAGCGTGATGAGATCAGGAACAGTCCATTCACAAGACCGCTAGCATGTGGGGGGGGGTTTGAAGTGGCAGGGACTAGTCTTGTGCTCTGAGGATTGGTGGATTCAATAAGTACATCTTCACTGTTATCACCCCTAGACAAAAATGAGCACTTAGCCCATGCAGTGCGGGGACAGCTCCATTGCATGGTTCAAAAAAAATTTTGCCTGGATTTCTGCTTTAAGCTTTTTTTCCCCCTCTGTTTTCACCTGGTGTTCTAGCCCGTAACACACCTCCTGTATTAATCAGACACAACTCAGGATGAATGCGCACAGGAGGCACAACAGACAGCAGTATTTTCAGTCTGGGGGGAGGGTAGTGTTTAATATAATAGCAGATTTAAATACACTAACTGAAGTCAAACTCCAGCTACACTTTAAAATCAGTTAAAGCAAACAGTTTTTTTCCCTTGTGGGCTAAAGGTTTGCATAAATAAATAAAATCTGATCATTTTAAGCACGCCTGCCAGGGTTAAATGGTTTGTTTCATCCATGTAAACTGATATATTCTGCCGGAGAGCTTGTGCTTTTGATAAACAACAATCTTGCTGGCTGGATATGCAAATAAAAAAAAAGAACGAAAACCTAAAAAAGAAAACAAATGCAGCCATCGCATCTAAGAATTGGTAAGCTGCACTATAATAAAGGTTTGTTTTGGGGTCTAATACTGCTTTAAATATATCTCTTCTGTAAGCCCAGCCAGGACTGGTTCTCAAATGTAATATATATATATATATATATATATATATATATATATATATATAAAACACACATATACACACAAGGGTTCTTTAAAAAGGTTTCCGCACTTTTATCCATGTATATATTTTAATAAAATGCAGAAACATTTTGAAGATCATATATTCAGTATATATATATATATATATATATATATTTCAGATATACGTTCTAATAAAAACTGTCATTTGAAAGAGCCCTTAAAGCCAGCAACTCCAAAGCAAAGCAAATCTTCCAAACAAGGTTATCCAGTGCCTTGACAGTATATACCACATTGTATATACTCATATATATATATTATATTATGTACTTTTGGTAGCAATTTCAGAGCGGATGCTCCTAAGCTGCTGCAGTTTCATCTCTCATATTACTTTTTTCTTTAGGCGATAAGAGTTTTGCAGAAATGTGGTCATAAAGGTCCATCTTATCATACAAAACACTCTGAGCGGTGATAAAGTACAGAGCTCTCGTCTCCTCTAATGTGAGGCTACCATAATGAATTAGCATGGCTCAATGCAGAGATATTTGAAAAGTCCACAAACAGAGCTGGCCACAGTTGGAAGTAATTAAAATCTGTTATAGAAGTATGACAGAGCAGCGGGAAACACGAACTGGATGTAGGATGGTCATAGTTCCCAGCAACTTAATGAGTTATCAGGAGCCGTGAACGCAACACCCAACACCTGCTGTATGCATAGAAACATCAGAACTGAATCTCACCTGTAACCAGCTCATTTCCCAGAAACATGTTTAAAGAACACGACTGAGCATTATTTACATCCAAAAGCTGGCCTGACAATAAAACCCTATTGCTGTTTTAGAAAAAAAAAAAGCTTCTGTACGCAGAAACAGCTCTGGACAAACAGCCAAATACACCATTTAAAATGTATATGAATCCAGAAATGTATTTGATACACTATATTGTCAAAAGTATTGGGCCACCCCTCCAAATCATGTGATTCAGGTGTTCCAATCCCCTCCATGGCCACAGGTGTATAACATCAAGCCCTAGACATGCAGACTGCTTCTACAAACATTTGTGAAAGAATGGGTCACTCTCAGGAGCTCAGTGGCTCCAAGCGTGGTCCCGTAATAGGTTGTCACCTGTGCAATAAGTCCATCTGTGACATTTCCTGTCTACTAAGTATTCCACGGTCAACTGTTAGTGGGATTATAACAAAGTGGAAGCAACTGGGAACAACAGCAACTCAGCCAAAGTGGTACACACATAAAATGACAGAGCGGGGTCACCAGTGCTGAAGCGCACAGTGCGCAGAAGTCACCAACTGTCTGCAGAGTCAAAAGCTAAAAACACCTCCAAACTTCATGTGGCCTTCAAATTAGCACAACAACAGTGCGCAGAGAGCTTCATGGAATGGGTTTCCATGGCCGAGCAACTGCATCCAAGCCTTACATCACCAAGTGCAATGCAGTCGGATGTAGTGGTGTAAAGCACGCTGCCAATGGACTCTAGAGCAGTGGAGACGTGTTCTCTGGAGTGACCAATCACACTTCTCTGTCTGGCAATCCGATGGTCGTGTCTGGGTTTGGCAGTTGCCAGGAGAACGATACTTGCCTGACGGCATTGTGCCAAGTGTAAAGTTTGGTGGAGGGGGATTATGGTGTAGGGTTGTTTTTCGGGGGTTGGGCTTGGTCCCCTAATTCCAGTGAAGGGAGCTCATAAGGCGTCAGCATACCAAGACATTTTGGACAATTTCATGCTCCCAACTTTGTGGGAAGAGTTTTGGGGATGGCCCCTTCCTGTTCCAACATGACTGCGCACCAGTGCACAAAGCAAGGTCCATAAAGACATGGATGAGCGAGTTTGGGGTGGAGGAACATGACTGGCCTGCACAGAGTCCTGACCTCAGCCCCAATAGAACACCTTTGGGATGAATTAGAGCAGAGACTGCGAGCCAGGCCTTCTCCCCCCGACATCATGCCTGACCTCACAAATGTCCTTCTGGAAGAATGGTCCAACCTTCCCATAGACACCCCCCTAAACCTTGTGGACGGCCTTCCCAGAAGAGTTGAAGCTGTTATAGCTGCAAAGGGCGGGGCCAACTCAATATTGAACCCTACGGACTAGGACTGGGAGGCCATTAAAGTTCATGTGCGTAAAGGCAGGCAGCCGAGCAATAATTTTGGCAATATAGTGTATATTGCAGCTTATCTGTCCTTACTTGTAGTGGTTACATCCCCAACTTGTGATGAAATATGTATTTAAAAGCCTCGCGTCGAATACTGCCTGTCCCCACCATCAACGTCCTTCACGCGCTCTCTGTACCCCTTGTCCTCACAGGGCGATCTTTTTTCCTTCCTGACACAATGATCATTTTCACCTTTCACAGCCCTTTTAGCTCTATTTTGTGGGTACAAGGACTGCTGCATCAGTGTGCAGTGTATTCAGCAAATAGGCACAGGTTCTGTACTGCCTGTCTCTACCATCACACTGTCTGACGTGTGTACTACCTGAAGCGGCTATTATCAACAGCCCCTCGGTACCAAATGTACCCATCATTGACTGCATTCTGTATGATCGGTGCCCAGCTTTCCACCCATCAACTTCCCCCTCTGTACTGCTTTCCCCACTGCGCCCACTGCTCTCTATGCCCACCTGTCCCCACCATGCACCCAACTGTGCCCTCTGTACTGTCTTTCACCACTAACTGCCCCTCTGTACTGCCTGTTCCCCGTGCCATCAACTGACCCACCTATGCACCTGTGCCCCCACCATCAACTGCCCCCTGTGCTGCCCTTTCCCCACCATCAACTGTCCCTCTATAGCACCTGTCCCCACCATCGCCAGTCTGCCCCTCTGTACTGTCTGCCATCTAACTACCCCTCTGTGTCTGCCTATTCCCCGCCATCAACTGACCCTCTATTAGTGCACCTATCCGTGACACCTCATTAGTGCTGCCCCTCTGTACCGCCTTTCCCCACCATCATTAGTACTGCCCTCTTTAGCACCTGTCCCCACCATCACTGCCCCTCTGTACTGCCTTTCAACCACCTTCAAGGAGAAAAAATACCTTTAGCACCTGTAACCATCAACTGCCCCTCTGTACTGTCTTTCACCACCAACTGCCTTATTTTCTGTACTGCGCTTTCCCCACAATCAACTGTCCCTCTATAGCAGCTCTGTCCCCACCAAAAACTGCCCCTCTGTACTGCCTTTCAATCCCACCATCAATTGTCCCTCTATAGCACCTAAGTGCCTGGTACCATCAACTGACCCCTCTGTACTGCCTTTCCCCACCTTCAACTGTCCCTCTGTATGCACCTGTCCCCACCATCAACTGCCCCTCTGTACTGTCTCATTTTTTTTCACCACCAACTGCCCTTTCCCCTGTACTGCCTTTGGGTACATCAACTGTGCATTGTGCAGTGTATTCAGCAAATAGGCACCTGTACTACCTGTCTCCCATCAACTTGACCTGTGTACTACCTGTCCCTATTATCAACTGCCCCTCTGTACCGTACCCACCATTGACTGCCTTCTATAGCACCTATCCCCACCATCAACTGCCCCTCTGTACTGCCTTTCCCCACCGTCAACTGTCCCTCTATAGCACCTGTCCCCACCATCAACTGCCCCTCTGTACTGTTTTTCACCACCAACTGTCCCTCTGTACTGCCTTTCCCCACCATCAACTGTCCCTCTATAGCACCTGTCCCCACCATCAACTGCCCCTGCTGTCTTTCACCACCAACTGCCCCTCTGTACTGCATTTCCCCACCATCAACTGTCCCTCTATAGCACCTGTCCCCACCATCAACTGCCCTCTGTACTGCCTTTCCCCACCTTCAACTGTCCCTCTATAGCACCTGTCCCCACCATCAACTGCCCCTCTGTACTGCCTTTCCCCACCATCAACTGTCCCTCTATAGCACCTGTCCCCACCATCAACTGCCCCTCTGTACTGCCTTTCCCCACCATCAACTGTCCCTCTATAGCACCTGTCCCCACCACCAACTGCACCTCTTTACCACCTGTCCCCACCATTAACTGCTCTTTCGTACTGCCTGTCTTCACCATCAACTGACTGCCTGTCCCCAACAACTGCCCCTCTCTACTGCCTGTCCCCACAAACAACTGCCCTTCCGTACTGCCTGTCCCCACCATCAACTGCCCTTCGTACTGCCTGTCCCCACCATCAACTGCACCTCTGTACCACTTGTGCTCACTATCACAGGGTCTTTTTTCCTTCGTGGCGCAGGGACATTTCCACCTCTCCCATCGTTTGCACAATTATGCGGCAGTTCTTGTACCCACAAAATAGAGCTGTGTATTCAACAAAGAGGCACAGGTTCTGTGTAATCACCCACTTTAAGCCACTCTCTTTATTACGTGCAATCTTGCCATAGAATTTCTGCATGGCCAGAGTTTCTGGCTGAAAGCAAGCACATGTGAGAAAATCAGCAGAGGATCCTGGCAATTACCTACAGAAAGCAGCCCCATTAAAAGCAATAGAAGGCTGCCAAGTCAATGCATAGCAATTACAAGTAAGCAACTGCAATTAGCTGCAGGAGCGGACAGCCTCCTATTGCTTTTAATCGCCGGAACCCCTCTGCTGATATTTCACATCTATTCGCGGCATGTCAGAAATGCAGGTGTGAATGTAGCCTAAAAGTGTTACTAAACCCACAACAGTAAAAATCAGACTATATATGCAGTAAAGCATGCTTGTTATACACACTGTGGAACCTAAGGGATTAATCCTCTGCATTGTGCAAAAAGACTGTGATCCTGTGTTCTCTGATCCTCACCTTCTTCAACAGCCCCCAATCCATCTGCTGATAGTACAGAGATTTAGGAGTCACTCTGCACATGCTCAGTTTAGTGTGTATGTATACAAAAATGCAGCGCTAAAGAGAAAACATGAAAGTGACTGGTGTGGGCACTTTGTTGTGCTATAAGTGATAAACGAGTATAAAGTGAATCCCTTCGAAAACGTGCACGAAACACGTCAGGGAGGAGTCTTGCCGTAGTGACGTCACGCCACAGAGGCCACATGGAAGACCGGCAGCCATTTTAACCAGATGTAAGTGCTGACATTATATCTGCTCTGCAATATTCATTGTATTCCCATTTTTTCAATAAAAATACTACACTGTTAGCAACTTATTCTCTGGCTTGTTACGAACGAGCCTCCAAGAGCTGTTTTTCCGGTGGCTTGAAAGTTCCTTGGAGTTGTGCCTGGATGCTGAGAGGGTCCTGTGAGAGAGGTCTGGAGTTGCCTTGACCGTGTACCAGATGATTCCCCCATCCTTACCTGTACCCAGATGACCACAAAGGGATAATATATACATGCGCTTTAATTTTGCGCTTCTGGTGAGTGCAATCATATTATCCGTTCCAGTCATGGATTTCACCAACACGGAGCACCTGAATTTTGGACTTTATTTATTTTGCTGATTTTATGTCAATAGTTTACCAAACACTAAAGTCACTTTGTATTTTATTTATTTTCACTTTTTCATCATAGGACGATTCACATTATACTCGTTTATAACTTATAGCCTAACAAAGCACCCATGCCAGTCACTTTAATGCTTTCTCTTTAGCACTGCATTTTTGTATACATATTTATTTAGAGGGTAAGAGGTTCCACCTTTATGCAAGCAGCTAGACAACCCAGCTCTCACTATTTACTCTTTTATTTCCTTAGTTTAGTATGTATGGCTTGAGTTTTTTTTCTGTGGGAGGATGCATGTGATCAGCACAGGGCCAATCAGCACTGCCCAGGTAGAGGATCAGGGATCATGCAGCCTCATAGGACAGTCAGAGCAGAATGAAAACTCCTGCTACAAGATTAACCAGTGCTCAACTGGACACTGATAGAAGTTATAAGACTGCTATATACTAATGATGAAAAAAAAAAATTTTGAATTTTAAATTTACTAAAATAATAATTGCATTTCCATGTTCCATGTACTGTGGGTGACCAGATATAGTGAATGCAGGGTCCTGAGTTTAGTGACACTTTAAGAAATGAGGCTGTTCACAGCAAAGTGAATAAAGAGAACCTTTATGCTGGTCATATTTTATTCATGCAAACATCTCAGTGCATAAGGCCATATAGTGCACTGCTATCCTCAGTCAGCTCCTCCACTGGAAGTGACAAATTACATACAGAGCTAGAAAAAAGCAAATAAAGCACAGGGATGGCAGTGTGAACAGGGAAACCAAAGAACCAAAAGGTTAAATGGTTACCAAGTAGGTTATAGAGTGGCTGTGAGATGGCAAGTTCAGTGGAGATCTGCAGACACAAAGAACACCCTACACATTAGACCAGCCTTTC